GTTATTTTATTAAACCCGTTATCCAACTGCAGGCCCATTTTGCCATCAATACTATATCCATTTCCTAGCTAGATGAAGTAAAACAGGCAATTTCAACCCATTTATTCGAACAGGAGTGGCTGCGATGTAAACCATTTCCTTTATATAGAGGAACACTCACCTTCTATACGCCACCATCCTTCACTTGGTTTTCTTCTTCTTTCTCACGGCAATGGTGGTCTCTATGAAGATGAATATGGTGTTACAGAAAAGCGATTCAATGTTAAATAGAGAGAGAAATTACATTTGCAGCTTCAAGAGCACAAGCATATCCTGCATGGCCAAGGAGTTGCCCATGCATAACGACAATCTGTACAAACTTCTTTCATTGGAATCCCGGAATGTTAGTTTCAATGAGATCAAGAAGGCATACCGTGCCAAGGCCCTGCAACTCCATCCTGATGTATGTCCATCTTCCATTACAGATGAATGCACAAAGCAATTCGTGGAGTTACATAAGGCCTATGAAGTTCTTTCAGATCCAAATACGCGAAGAATGTATGATCAGGAATTGAACATGGTTGAATGTTTTGGATCATGTGGTTCAGGTCATCAATTCCGTTTCTATGATAGGAAGGTGTGGGAAATGCAACTTGCTGGACTAAAGAAACGATCTGCCGATCGAATGGAAAGGATGAAAAATGAATTCATGTAGAACAAGATATATTATTTAATGTGTTTATCGTGTTAATAATATATGATCATCTTGAATGTTGAACGTTATCTATTTATTCCCTCGTATATAAAATACAAATAGAAATAATTAACCTCTATACGACTATACCTAAACCATGAGTCAAGAAGATTTACTTTCGATTAAAACCTTAAGTCATTTTCCCTTTCGTGTATGGAAAAGACATCGGACTGCAGCTGAAACCTGGCAGCCACTTCCATCAGATGAGACAAATTCAACCTTTTGGTTTTTAAAAATTCAGTTCATGTCTTCATGAGATTATGTTTTGAAATGTTCACCACCATATGGAAAAAGACATATACATCAAGTTAATTAAGGTAAAGAAATCCGAGAAACATCCAAAATATGATACAGGAGAGTAATTTTAAAATTTTAATTATCTGGGAATAAATAATCGGAGTTGTCGCATGTAACCTTGATATTCAAGAACGTACCGATGTTTTTAAATAAAGACACTACCTTAAAAAGGGTAATGTTAGATGTATTTAAATCAGTGACAGTTTACCGTAAAAATATCTGTGTCAGTAATTACCAATATAGAGATCTGCTAGACAGTATTAAAATTTACAAAATAAGCCAACGTGAAACTGGACAGAGTACAGATCAACAAAGACAATGCACAGAACTATGGTTAAATAAACATCCAGGTAAAAAAACATAGTAACAATCAAAATAAACAACACCAGGGGATCAAAGGTCAAGGAGCATGAGTATTCCAAGAGCCTATGAGATTTATAAGAGTTGCACCAAATTTTCACCAGGACTTGTAGCTAATTCACAATTGCTTGAGTTTCAGACTCCCGATAATAGCCTTGTACTCCAATCTTTTGTTAGTGATTGTATATTTGTCCTATAATCGCCCCTTTTTTATGACATCAGGCTTTTTGTATCCAGCAACACCAGAATGGGGTTGAAACGCGAACATTGCCTAGTTGTCAAGCAGGCAATATCGTTTTGTTATCATATACACCTTGTGTTGCCATTTCGCTGTTGAACATGAAAAACCTTATGCTCATCAGACAACATGCAAAGCATTAACTCTATAAACATAAGACCAATTTTTTGTTTAATAATTCTTTATAATCTCTAATATTGTTATAAAACTATAAACCAACCAAAAAAATTATATAATAATTTAAAAACAAAATCTGTAATAGGCCTTATTTGGGTTATTTGGTTAACCCGAATTAGAAAAAAATTAACCTAAGCTCGACGAATAAGATTATTCTTTTTCGGTTAACCAAAACCAAATATCCCAAATCTTATATGGTTCAGGTTGGTTTGCAATTTTTTTTGACACCCTTAGGTTTACCTACAGGAACCCAGAACCCACTCCCCGGACAATAACCATTTTTGTAAGATGGACACAATTAAATTAATTAATACATATAAGGGTTATTGTTATAAACCCCCAAATTTATACAAAATGTTCGGTTATCCCCAATGTCTGTTTTTAAGCGCCTTAATGCATAATATTAAAAAAAAAAATTGTTCACATTTACCATTTAGTTGGTTTCCTCTCCACAACAGCCAACATGTCATTTTCGACTTAGGTGGCGGTGACAAACTCAAGAGCCACCGACATAGCAATCAATGTCAGCAACTCCCCTTTATATGAAAAAGTGCACGCAAAGGAGGGGTTGAAATGTAGCTAGCTCATGGGAATTGAACTCACCACCTCTCACTTGTTAACCCAAGAAGGCTTTTCATGTAAATATTCATAATTTTCCTTATATAATACTCCCTCCGTCCCAAAATTATAGTTCATTTTTCCTTTTTGGTTTGTCCCAAAATAATAGTCCACTTCTAAAAATAAATAACATTTTTACCAAAATACCCCCTCATTATTACTTAACAACTAAGCATTTAATGTTCCATTAAATGCAAAGTAAGGATAAAACTGTTATTTTATTAAATAAAGTTAATGGTAATTAATGTTTTCTTAATATGTGTGTTTTTTGTCAATGAACAATAATATTGGGACGAAGGGAGTATGTAAAACTCTGAAGTTTTTATATTATTATTATTATTATTATTATTATTATTATTATTATTATTATTATTACTACTACATGGGAGACACTATTACAACAATTTGGTATGTCAATCCAACAATACATTTTGTAATTACTATCATTAACACCTCTTTTAATCCACTAACGAAGCTTTGTCAGCCACAATAGATGTTATAAACAATCCTGCAAAGCATAATTCAGCATATATAAATAGAGAACATTACAATAAAAAAAAAAAAAAAAAAGATAAGAGTTAATAGTGTCAAAAACACACCGGATATTTTGGAAAGCAACAATACGACAAAGAACACCATCTTCAAAGTTTGTTCCATATTTTATAGGATATAAAAGAGAAAAACTAAAGGGGTAATCTTTAATTTGTAGCAAAGTCATTTTACTTGCCAT